ACAAATGATATTTTAGGTTGTGACTATATTTAAAGGAACTACTGTATTCATTTGTACTACATTATTCGTTTATATCTTTAATGAAATAGAACTAGTAACAAATCCACATAAAAATTTAAATTGAAATTTATACTTTGTGTGTGGATCTGGTAAATTTAATTCGATTGAAATCATTTCAGTCATTAAAAATTTGCCATAAATGTAAAAACCTAATTATCATACTTAAATACTTCCACATTAATGAGTACCACTAAAGTAAAAATTATCTTTTTCCCATCCTTATCCATCAGAGAAAAAAATTGTATTAAAATATGCTAGCACTCTGTTCCAATTCTAGCAGTTTCCAGTTAAATCGCAGACATCGCATCCTTCTGGACATTTGTACACGTAAATTTTGAAATCAGAAATCCCCCATGATGCACCAACCTAATGAGAAATTAATGTAGCTATAGCACTGTTGCCATCATGATCTATTACTCTACTAATTTGATAAACTTCTCCAACAGTTCCACTACCACATATTTGAGTACCTGTAGATGTATTTGGATTGTCATCATAAGCTTTATATCCATCAATATGGAAACTGTAAAACGATCCTGTCCATTGTGTCAATCTACATATAAGAAAAGGTACCTCCAGAATTTGAATTCGAACTTCAATTTATAGTGAGGAGGTAGAATAAAGGTCTTTGTGATTGTTGTTTAATAATCAAAAATGCCCAGTCCTCCTAAAATGATTGAACTTCCACAATTAGTTATATAATTTGGAGAGAGGGCTTAAAGCACTTTCCAATCTAAAAATACCATAAAAATAGTAACCATCATCTGAGCTAAATGGAGTGAAAAATGATTTGCTTATTTCAGTTTATGCCATAGGATGTAGGCATATATAATGTTAAATTATCAGATTGATTAAAATAGAAAAGCTTAGAGTGTATTAGGACATATGTTTCATTTTGGGTGTTAGTAATACTAGCCAAATCATGTGAATATAATTATATTAATATCTAAAGATGGTTGTTAATAAATTTAGAAATTTAAATATATATGAATTGCAAAGTATCTTTGTTTAATTTCTTGTATTATAATCGTTATTCATTAAATTTGAAAGTAATCAGTTTTTATTAAAAATCAATTGATTATTAATATCTATAATTAATGTTCATCAGGTTAAAATGGGTGTGTTCTTGTTATTACTTATTCAATTTTAGAAATTAATTAATTAATATAATTATGGTTATTCATAAATGTGTTTAGAATACTTGAATTAATGCGAAAACTTTCTATAAATTGTTTCGCAAAAATATACACACTTGACGTTGATACTTTTTAATAATTAATATTATTCAGATATTAAATTAGGAATTTGTAAGACAAATTACAATTTTAAATCAATATAAGTTACCCAACTCGATCAGCATTTACTAATTATTATTTAAAATTAGTTCTCTAATTATATTATAATTTAAAAAATATTAATGAAAAAAAGTTATTGTGGATTTAAGCTTAAAGGGCCATAGTACATGTATACTGATTCTAGATATTATAAAATCAATAGTCGATATAATATTAGTACATATTAGATTGAATCCTAAATATGTCTTTTTGTTAAGTAAAATTTTACCATCATATACTTATATTTAAAAATAATTTTTAATAAATTTTATCGAATTTTAATAAATATATTAAAACTAAATAATATATTTTTGCTCATTCTTATTATTCATTATAGGAACTTATTTATTTTTTATTTTAGACTTTATTTCATTAAACTTTGTTACTCTGAATTACAATTGAATACATCTATTTTTTTTGTATTATTCTATTGACCACAATATCTAGAAGATAAATAAATATATATATATCCTCTTTAGCTATTAGTTTAACAATTATAGCATAAATAAAAAATCATTATTAAGACTCATATAAAATAATAATAAAATTTTATGTGATATTTTGATAGTATTTTAATCTTTTTGATACCAGATATCACAAGATTAAAAGTAGAAAACAAAAAGATAATTGAAAATTGTTTTTGAATTTTAGAATCAACAATTTCAAAAATCACATTAATAAGAATCAATTAATAGTATATAATTCTATTCAATGTTAAAACATCAATTTAATTTTTTTCAATTGAATAGGATTTCAAACTATAATATTTATATAACAACTTAAAATACATGTTTTTATTCTTTTTTATATTCAATTGATTTATTTATATCAAATTTTAATTAATATTTGGTGAGATTATTATATAATGAATATATCTAATATCAATGATCTATCTCCTCTCATAAAGTTAAAGGAAGAGTAGCATTTCACATTTCGTAGGCTTGAATGTAAAGATGTGCCATAACTTCTACCTCTAATGATCAATTAATTTCTTAACTACAATCCTGCATTTCAGATTTTATAAATCACCGAACAGGACATTAAAAGTTGTTTTACACAAGATCTTTTGTAAGAATTTCAACTAAATTTATTAGTGATTAGATAATTCAAGAAAAACTTTCCTTTGGAGCATTTAAAAATGATATGTTAGTTTCTGCATGCTTAACTTATGATTTAGGATTTAATGATACTAAAGAAGATAAATAGGAAATATTGCCAACCTAGAAAATGCAAGAAATTATTAAAATGAATGATATACTATTAGGCAAGTATGCTGAAAATAAGGATATTAAGTAGAAATAAATTGCATATATGAGTCATTTGGCTACAAAATCAGATTATTTTAATCAATAATTAGCATTATCATGTTGCTTTTTATCAATTTAAGAATGTAGTAAATATGGATTTTAATAAATGATCACTGTGGCTGAGCATGTTGGTACCTATAAAACATTCTTGAAAATTTATAAAAAAATTGATATCTTAAAAGAAATCAATGAATTCAAAGATTAACCAATTAATATACAAGCTTTAGCTGGTTCATTTACATTTTAATGAAAATTAATGATAAATATATAAAATCAATAAGTTTGATTAGATTGCTATTTTTATATCATTCTGTTGTATATTGTGAAATTGATACTAGCTTATTATAATTATTTTAAATGATATATTTGTTATTTTAACAAGAAAATTTATCTTTAAATTGCAAATTTTTTTCTTTCTTTTTTTAGAATCTGTAAATTTCATATTTTCAACTTTTAATTTGATTATAAAACTTATGAAAATAATTTCGTATTTAATAAGCTACCTTCTTAATATATTTTGTTATCGAATATTGATATAATTTTTCTGAAATGACAAACAATACTTTTGAAATTGTATCATAAAAATTGATTCAAAATAGTTATAAGAAATTCTTAAAAATAGTATATATATTACTTATTTAAGGAAATGATAAACAATTATTATTATATTCAAGAGAACCTTTCCTAAATTGATTATGACAATTCTTTTATACTATTTCATTGAAAATTTTATTAATTTATAAGCAATAATGTATTAATCAAAAAAGTAGAGAATTTAGATTACAATTAATTCTTAAGAAGTAGTTAAAAATGAAACCAATATTTTAAAATAAATATGTCAAGAGACTTTTTGAAGTATAAATTTCCTTTGTAAATATTAAAGATTGAATGTATTTTAGCATAGTGATAATTTATGGATTAGTAATTTCTATTAACAGATACTCTGAGATTTCATGGCTGAATTAATTCTATTATACAATCAAAATTCTAATAATTATATTTAGTTAACAAGATATATTAAAATTAATAATAAGTTTTTTTTTTAAACTATGAAAAGAATCATGAGCTTAAAGTAGAATTTAATCAAGTAAATGAACTTAATATATTTAATCGACTGATATTAATAATTTCAATGAATTTCAACTTGATTATTTATCAATTTGACATAAATTAAATTCGTTTGTCTTTTCTATTTTTGACACTTTTGATTGTTGATTCATAATTAAATTTAAATATTGTAAAGCATGTAAAACAATTGAATAAAGTTGAGGTTGTTATTTAATTTTAATAAAAGAGTGTGTTTATAAGAATGATTTGTAATTTTAATGAATTCAATATTCTATCATTTATGTTCGCTAAGATAATTGAAGAATGCTCAATAAAACTACTTTAATATATTATGTATTAGAAATCTTTGAAACAACATTTCTCTGATGATTTATTTTATTTTGGTATCTGAAATAAAAATAAATAAAATATATATAAAAATAAAATTAATAATAAATTAAATAATGGGAAACGATATTCAAAGGGTACAATAATTAGGAGATAGCATAAGATAATTGCGAGAAGATATGGATGCACTATCTAAAATTGCTCCTCAAGTTGAAAAGATGATAGCTTTGTCAAGTACTTTAGAGTCAACAACAAAAAATGTAATATCTATTAATAAATATTAGATTAATGAAAACATGTCTAAAGTAAGTAAAACAGTTTCAGACGTTGATGAGAAGGTAAAAAAAGCAAAGGAAATCATGGATAAAATACCAGGAGGAAATAAATTACAATCATTTTTTTGAGATTTTATACATTTTATTTAATTCAATAATCAATATTATATGATTAGAATATGTATAAAATAATAAATAAGTACAATAAATAATTATTTAAATACTTTTAAAAGACTACTTATATTTAATACATAGTAATAGTATTATTGGCAGATTATAAAATTATTGGTTTGAAATTAAAAATATTTCTCTATTTTGAAAGATCCTTTATAATATAAAATATATTTAAAATGAAATTAATTGCTATATTATTCATCACCTTTGTAATTACATCATGCATATACACACCTGCTGAACGTCAATTTAATCAAGAGGCATTAACAGGAGCTTATAATTATAATAATTTACCTGAACCATAAAATGTTTCTAATTGTGGAGATGATGAAATTTAGATTGATCTTTTTAATTTTGTTGGTTATATGCTTTAAAAAGCTGATAAAGCAAGTTTATCTTAATTATTAGGATTAAAAAAAGAAGTTGATGACTATTTTAATGTATTTGAGATTAAAAATTATTTAGGCACTCCCAGAAGAATATACAAATTGCTTATATGCTGAACCTGAATTTGTGGAGATGTGTACTTTATATGGATTGAAAGAGACAGATAAAATGGAATAAATTACAGATAAAATCTATTAATATGCAGTTGGACATTTCATTTCTACTAAGAAAGAGATTCATTAGGGAAATCTATTATGGAATACAGAACATAAATATTAGGATGCAGGATATTTAGTTGCTAATTTTGCCAAAAAAGCCTTAGTAACAGGAATAGAATATGTTGAATAATGATTTGTATATGGATATAACAATTTATGTGTATAAATTTCATAATGTTTCCATTCTAGCTTCAGATACTTTTGCTTCTTTACTATCCCAACCACTAAATAAATATGCTGCAAATCTGTAATTTTTATTAGGAGGTAATTTGAAGTTAATTTATTTATTATTCTCTCCTGCTTTTCTAATTGAAAATACATTTCCATTTCTAATACATTCTATAATATCTCCTTATTTAACTTCAATTCCTAGAGATTTCTTATCAAGATCTTCATCATTAGAGGCAGCAACCACTTAAATATAAATGATTAATTTTACATTTGTCAGAATAAACAATCCACATTCCATGATCTAATCCATAATTACAATTTCCTGAAAAATCAGTTTCTTTGACAATATCAAAATCCACTATTCCAATTCCTATACTCTATAATGTTGATTAATTATTTTACAGTTTATATTGTATCACAACAAATTTTTACTTTTAATATGTCTTGTTCCTTTGCAGGTTCATCCAAAAGAACTAAACCTCCTTCTTCTTGTTCCTCAACAACGGCTAGATTACCATGTACTTCAACATATTCACTTTTATAAGTAGAGCTAAAGTTTCTTGCTTATGCTTCACTTCCAATTTATTAAAATTATGGATCACCTATAACTGTGTTAGATGTCTCACAATTACCCATTATTTAATTTAATAAATTATCGAAATAATTTTTTCAATTAAATAAAATGAATAGTAATTAAAGAAAAGTATATTAAATTTACTTAATTAAATTATAGATTGATATCTTTCTAGTATTTGCATTGAATATAACTTTATAATATAAGGGTTATTTTATTATTATTCTTAATCTATTATAACAATTTATCTTATTTTTAAATTAGAAACAGTAAAAATTCTTAAATAGAAATTATTTTTTTGGATATCCAAATAGAAAGAAACTAATACTTATAACATGAATAATAATAAGGAAAAAATGTTATTTAATATATATTAAGTAAAATATTATTTTGAAACTAATTGTTAGAAAAGAAGTTACAGGGTTACTTCATTAGGTAATATTTATAATATTGATTATTAGTAAGTAAATAAACTAGAAAATAAACTTTTATGAATGAATAAATATTTTTTAGTTTATATATATTCATATATATTTAGTATGATGTAATTATTTATGTCAATATTATTTAAAATAATATTTGTATGTAGAAAATCATATTGTTAGCTTTCATTAGTTTGGGTTTTTCAAGGTTGAGTTTTAAAGAAGGCCCTTATGATTATAGCCATATATTTAAAAGCGAAGGAACATTTCCTTAAGGAACAAAATGCAAAAAGGTTGATGCATAATAATTAGATCCTTTATTTGATAATACACAAATTATTTATTCAGGATATTTGAGTGTATATGAGAACAGCAATTCAGCATTAGGATTCATATTTTATGGAAGTTAGAAAGCTAAATAAGAAAGTGAACTCTAGAATTATCCAACATTGATATGGTTAAATGGTGGTCCTGGATCATCTTCATAATTAGGTAATTTTATGGAATTGGGACCATTGTTAATGTAGAATAATGGTAAATTGAAAAAGAATTTATATGCTTGGAATACAGAATATAATGTGATTTTTGTTGATCAACCAATTGGTACAGGTTTGGCTTATGTTGAGAAGCAATCTGAAGTACCTACAAATTAAAAATAAATTGGATAATAATTTTTATATGCTTTAAATTAATTCTTATTTGGAGCAAAGGGTTGTGTAGAATAATAACAAGTGAGAGGATTGGCATAATCACCTTGGTTTGTATTTGGTGAGAGTTATGCTGGAAAGTATATATATTTAGTTTGATTTAGGTATGTTCCAACAATAGCAAAAGCAATTTTGGATTATAATCTTAATGCTTAGAAGAAGATTCCATTGAAAGGAGTAGGAATAGGAGATCCTTTTACAGATCCATATGCTGTAATTGCAGAATATGCAGCTTATTCTTTTAATTTGGGTTTAATTGATATTCAAGAGAGAATGCAAGTAGATTCTATTTTAGCATATGGATTGACAGAATTGAATAAAGGTAATACTTTGGCAGCAAGAGATGCTTTTGAAGAATCTTTAGATATTATCATAACTTAAAGTGGTGATATGAATGTGTACAATGTTCTTTAATATGGTAATTATGGAGTAACTGAGGAGTAGGTAGAGAAGTATTTGAATGAAATACAAATAGTAAATAAATTTGGATTTAGTGAAGATTGGAAATATAAAATTAGTAATGCTGATGATGGTCCAGTATAAAAGGCTTTGAAATATGATTTCATGTTGAGAGATGTTGTAGCTACAGTAGAAGAAGTAGTTAAACAAATTCCATTTTTAATATATAATGGATAGAATGATCTCATTTGTTCAACACCAGGAACTTTGAGATGGGTTTATGATTTAAAATACGAAAAGATTGAGGAATATCGTTAGAAAGACTTTGATATATTAAAGATTACAGGGACAGAAAGAATTGTAGGATATTAAAAATCGGCTGGAAATTTAGAATTAGTATTAATTAATAATGCTGGACATCTTGTGCCTACTGATTAGCCAGAAGCATCATTGTAAATGGTTACAACATTTGTTAATAAACATAAATGAAAATGAGATTTATATAATAACAATATTGAAGGAGATATTTATTATTATTAATAAAAAATAGAAATGTTTGGATAGGTGGTGCATAAATTCCAAAGAAACTAGAATCATCTGTTAAGCAAATTCCTCAGAGCTGGTAATAGGTAATTTAATAAATGGGATGTAGATCTAATCCATTTGAGAATACATTAACCATCCTTGAAGACCCTGCTCAACATAGAAAACTATATCTTATTGGATCAACACATGCTTCAACTATGTTGGCCTATAGAACATAAAAATTGATTAATGAAGTCAAACCAGATAGTGTCTATGTGTAAACAAATGAAGAATGGTGGAATATTGTTAAAAATATTGAAGGAGTCACATCTCAATCAGAATTAAATGTCTATAATGATGTATTAAGAGGGGCTTATAAATGGGAATTGGAATCTGGAGTCAGAAATTTCAGAAATACAGTCTTTTGGGCAAGACTTTACTCATGGTTAGGTTTAATGTAATTTTTGAAAGGTAAATAATATCTATTAATAATTAATTTTAGCATTCAATAGTGATTTCCATCCATTCATTCCAGGCTTAGAAGTCAAATATGCTATTGAATAGGCTCGTGCATAAGGTGCTAATGTTATCTTTGGTGGTTTGGAAATCTCTAATGATGATCTATTGTCATTAAAAGTATATTATTTTTTATATAATATATTTTAGACTGAACCAAGATTTGATCCATTAAGTGTTTCTTTGAATTTCCTTAAACTCCTTAGTCAAATCAGATGGAGAAGAGAAAGATAGGATTTAGCCTTTTAATTGGCAGTTCTTGGAGGAGAATAATTTGCTGAATCAATTGATAAATATAGAGCTTCATGGTTTGTTAAACTTTTTGAGAAATTGAGTCCTCATTAAAAGAAAATATTGATTGATAGAAAGGATATTGAGATTTTTGAAACTCTTTATAGACATACTCCAGGAAAAACAATTGTAGCAGTTGTTAATCAATGGCATACTATGGGTATTGAATCTCATTGGAGACATACTACTAAGACTTAAATTAATACTGAGCCAATTAATCCAATTGGAGATATGGATTTGGAAGCTCTTAATGAAGATTTAGTGGTGAACGACTTTTTAAGATAATTTACTTCAAGACTTACTAAAAGTGAACCAGCATCTACAAGAGCATATATCACATAATATTATAAGGATGTATTCGAATATGAAAGATGTAATATTTATAAATTTATTAATTAATTATAGTCAGACATGTTGAATTTGATGGTCATAGTGATCCTCATTAATTCCATGGAGGTAGTCCATTTGAAGGAGGTTATTAACATCATCATCCATAATTACCTGCTGATGTAAGAAAGTAAATTGAAGAAAATTGGAAGAAATAATATGCCCATCATCATGAACACCATTGAAATATTATTAATAAATAAGATAAAAACAATATTTTTTTTATTAAGACCAACATGCCTTTATTAGTTATAATTCAAATTTCAATATCCAATAGACAATTGAAAAACGGAATCAATTGTTCGTTTTTGTGTAATATTAAATTAAATGAAAACCATTTGTGTTTTGGTATTAGTAATTGCTCTTGCAACCAGTTTGAAATCTACATTGAGATAAACACCATAAAAATTGTAAGGAGAACTATAAAAATCAAATTATGGAAAAGCACTTTTACATTTACTTGAATTACATTCAATGGCAGGAGGAGCTGTAAGTGAGTTGGTTGATGCAATTGAAGAATTAGATAATGATTTGATTGATGGACTTTAATTATTAGAATTCAATTTCCAATAAAGAACAAATCAACATAATGCTTTAGTTGTCTAATTGAATTAATAAATCAATGATGCTCAAATTGATATTAGCAGATCAGAAGATGTAATTGAAAATTTATTGATTCCAAGAAGAGAATAATTAGAAACAAGAATTGCTACTCTAGAAGAATATTAAGAAATTAACAGAAAAAATTATGATGAAGAAGTTTTAATTAGACAATAAGAACATGAAGCATTTGAAGCTTAAGTTGCTGAATTAACTGATGCAACAGTTGCAGTTGATGATGCTCTTGCACTTTTATAAACATTGAGCAATCCCTCATTGGCATAAGTTAAGAAATTCTAAAACTCACTAAAAAAAATTGAATAAAGTATTAAACCAAGATCTAAAATGGCTCCATTTTTGAAAGCTCTTCTTACATTAGCATCAAATTAAAATTTTTCAGATTAAGGAATTATTTCTTAAATTGTTAATGCTTTGAATGAATTCAGAAATGCTATTGTTGATAGTATTAATGATTAAACACTTGCTGAAGCTAATGCAGTTGAAGAATATGAAGAAAGATTAGATTAATTAGATCATGAATTTGCTGAATTCTAAAGATAAATCAATGCTGTTAATGTTGATTTGACTGCAACTAATAGTAAGTTAATATATTTACTATTTCTATAGATAAGATTGATTAAGTCACTGAATTCCTTAACCAAAGAGTCGCTGATTTGAAATAATATGAAGCTGAATTACAATTAGAAAATGATAATTATGCTGATGAAACTCAAATCTACAATGATACCAAAAATGAATTCACTAGAGAATAATAAATCACTGAATAAGCTTTGGCTTTGGTTCAATCAGTTGATTTTAGCCATATTCAAGTTTGAGTATTAATAATAATCCACCAATAATATAAAAAATTAATCATTTAATTTTAATTTATTTGTGAAGAAAGAATTTAACAATGGAATAATTCAATATTTAAGATATCTTATCATTCACAAATCTAAGGAAACAATACTCCTTACTTAATAATGTTATTCATCAATATGATACTACTTAAATAATCAAATTAAAAAAAGTAATCTATATCATTTTATTTATTAAAGACATTATTATTAGACTTGTTTAATTCTTGTTTTGATGAAAGTTTATTGATTGGAGGATAAGTCTTATAGAAATTACTAACAAAATTATATAATGAATTAGGAAAAGAAGACAAAAAGAATGTAGAATTATTCAATCAAAGATTATAATAATTTGTTTCCATATTTGTTGATGATTACATAGAAAGTGTCAAATAAAATTAGAATAATTATAATCTTAATTATGCTTAATAGATTAATAGAATTTTGGCAGATGTAAAAATTGAATGTATTCAATACATAATTGATCACATTATATAAAATGATCAGAATTTCTATTAACATAAACATAAAGTTTGGGCTATTGCTTCATTACTAAAATTTGCTAAATTAGAATAACAAATTTCTGTTACTGAATAAGGTATAATATACAAAAATGGAACCATTTTGAATCTAGATATTTAAATAATTTAGAAATGGATGTATAATATTGATAGAGCAATCTAATTTGAAGCCCTCTAAATATTTACTTTAAATAGCAAAAAAGCTGCAAAACCAACTCAAATTGAATTAGATTCAATTATACTCTTTATATAACATGTTATTAAAACATCATATCCTAATTTTAAGAAAAACTATTTGTAAAAATTAAAGTTTTTTTTTGAAAGAATCAGAGCAAGTTTTTAAAAAGATTTAAAATTATTAGAATCAGGCAAATCAAAAGATACAACTCCAATTTAACCAATAATTAAATTTACTCAATAAATTCTAGATATCTTATATTCTCAATTAATCCCTGAATGTTGTTATGAAGTTTCAAGTCCTTGTTTAGAAATATTAAAAATGATATATATGTATTTAGGTACACCTGAAAAATTAGAACCTAAAAAAGGAGAGTTTTATGATAAAACATTATTTTTATTAAATTACTGTTTAGAATAAGCATATGGAAATACAAAAGTTGAATAATTGATCATTTAATGTAGTAGCAATTGGGAATCTTCAAGAACATTAGCTTATGAAATATTACTTTTGCTTCCAAATGAAATTCAATTCTTTAGCGAATAGAAAGCTAAATAACTCTATTAAATAGCTACTTCTTAAATAGGAAATCCTATCATAAAATTTTATGAAAGTGGTTCCCTCTTATTATCTTTATTATTAAAAAAATATGCAAATATCTTATATCCAACTTAAAATCCAGAAATTGAATTTTTAAATTATTTAGTGAATGAATTATAATAGAAATTTAATACTTTTAAGTAAGTATTTTCTAATGATATTGTTTAATTATAATAAACACTTATTCATGGATATATATCAACATTTTGGATTATTTTATAAAGGAATAATATTCATTAATTGTAAGATAAAGAATAACTTAAATTATTTTTTATAAAATTACTTGAATTATTAAAAGATATAATTGAATTTGCTACTTAAGTAAGTTCTGAGAATGTTTGTACATGGATAATTGATGATAAATCAACTTAATAATTGCCTTATCAAGTTGATTGTAGAGGACATTTCTATTAGACTGAGTTTGTTTAAAATGTACAAAAGATTCTGTAAGGAAATACATTGATTGAATCATTAGATGATTAAACTACAGATTAAGGATCTGAAAATATATTAGTAGTTTCATTCTTTTTAATAACTAGAGAATCTGGTGTTTTCTTTTAGGAATTAGCAAAAGTTATTGATTAAATGAATGATAATTTAATTCCTAATGATTTATTGAAAAGAATTACTTATTAATTTTTCCATGCTTTATTAAACATTAAACATTTAGGTTCTATAGATAGAATTGCATAAGGATTATATGAATTATGTAAAACTATGGGAGTTAGTAAAAATCCATAATTACCTGGATTAGTGAATGAATTAATTGATAAATTAGTTGAAGCTTTTGATTAAAATTAATTAAAGAATGTATTTAGAAGATCTGCAGGTTTACCACATTTGGTTTGCTGTTTATTAAGGTCTTGTCAAGGTAAAGATAAGTAGACTGAAAAGGTTGTAAAGATATTATTGAAATTTGCAAGAGATGGTCAATTGGAAATGAGAATACATGCTCTTAATGTAATCAGAAAGTTATTTATGGAAGCTTGGTTAAGATAGGATCTTGATTAATTTATATAAGAGGCTTATATGTTAGCAATTGATGGTTTTAGTTATGATGATTGGAGTGTAAGAAATTCATCTTTAATGTTATTTTCAGCTTTGGCATCTAGAACTTTAGGGAAAAATACATAAAATGTAGAATAAATAGCTTAGAAATTAACTTTAATAGAATTCTTTAATAAATCACCTTAATTAGTACAATACTTTTAAAATAAAATTAAGGATTATAATGATGAATAATTATATCCTAGTTTATATCCTATAGCATTATTATTATCAAGATTGGCTCCAATGGAAGGTAAATTTATTAGAAAAGTATATACAGAAATATAGAAATAAGATTTATTTGAATAGAAATAATTAGATTAATTATTACCATCATTAATAAATTGTTTAAAGAATAAGAATTATTTAGGTAGAGTGATTTTATCCAAAGCTATTTTGCCATTCCTTTCATTTTAACAAATAACATCATATGTTGTAGAACTCTTAAAAGAATTAATTGATAGTAAGACAATAAAGAGAAATCATAATAATGCTCATGGCATTTTATTATTGTGTCATTAATTAATTAAAGATTATTATAATATCAAAAGGGAAACATTAGATTAATATGAAGATAATTAAATTGAATAATTGAAACAAAGTGAAAATACTTTAATTTAAGAAATCCATAATAAAAGATTTATCATTTGTGAAATAAAATGTCCACCTGTTTTATCTGTTTATTATTAAGTATTAAATATAATAATAAAAAATAATAAATAAGAAGATTGTGTTTTATTTTAAGAATGCTATTAAATTACAAAGAATATGATTGAAGAATAACATTTTAATTAATAGACATTCAAGATTTAATAAGATATGGGTAATAGTTTATTAAGAAAGAAGTAGATATCATTTTTAGTTAAATTAGATCATTTAAATAAAAGTCATTTATATTTAGAATAATTAATAAAGAATTAAGTTTAAAAATATATATAATAAAAAGATCTATTAGAAATTGATGATTTAGAAGTATTATAATAATTGTATAAACAATATAATACTATACTTAAGAAAAATAACAAAGTAGAAGATTCTAATATAGAAATTGCATAATTAACTTATCAATTATTAGAAGTAATAGAAACTCCATATTTCAGTTAATGCTTAAAATAATGCTTAAAATTTTTACTTATTATTAGTAAATTAACTAAATTAAATCATAATGAAATAATTTTAGATTAGATTAATAAGAGATTTATAAATGATTCAGGAATAATGAAAAATCTTATTAAACTTTATGGTTATGTTATGTTATAAAAACAAGAATTTTTGGATTAATTTTTGAAAATGTGTGAATTATATTCACATAGTAATAATATAGATGATTTAAGAATTGCTGTAATAAAAAGTATATGTATAGCAATGCCAAATTTAATTAATTTAAATACTCTAAGATTATCTTTGATTTATTTAAGATTACTTCAAGATGAATTACCAGAAATAAGAAATAAGATGAGTAAATAAATATGTATTCATTTATTGAATAACAAAAATAAAAATTCAACTGAATTATATAATAATGAGTATTTATTGCATAATTATTACTAATTAATTGTGTCAAAGTAAATAACAAAAGAGAATTAAGTGGAGATTATCAATATTTTAATTACTTAATTGATGGATAGTGAATACTATATGATTAAAAGATAAAATCATTAATCTAAAAGAATATTCTAATATGAAAAAAGCAATAAATATATAAGTGAATTAAAGGGCAGAAAATTAGCATATGATTTTTTAGTCTATTGTGTGAATAATAAAATATTAGATTAAGAATTGGTTATTAAGGAATTAAATGAGTATGAGATTAGAAATTAAAATACTGCATTGATGGAATATAAATTGAGTGAGAATCAAATAATAAATTATATAAATAATTTAACAGATAGAGATGATTTTATATATGAGAATATGTGTAGATTGACAATATTTGAAGAATTATAAGCTAAATTTAATTCTAATTAGTAAATATATATATTATTTTAGTAAATAATATGAATTGTATCATAAATATAATGTAAAGAGAGTAGAGTTTTCATTTTAATAATTTGATTGATTGATTTTTAATATATATATAATATATATTCAAATTCTGTATCAAGAACCTAATAATTTAAAATGTTATCTGTATTTTTTATAGAAATTATTCATGTATTCATTGTATCTCATTTCATCAATCATATTTTAATTCAATCCTGTTAATAATATTTCTCTTTATGAACCTATTATGAATTTAAATAAATACTAATGAGTGCTTAAATCATTAAACTTAATTTATCTATAGCTTCATCATCAAAAACACTAACATATCTAAAACTAAGTACAATATAATCACTTTCTGGTAGTTTTTTAATTTAATTAATATGATTCTAATATAATATTGATTATACTTTGACATTAATATAATTGATAGCTCCATTAAAACGATAAATAGCAAAAGATCCTTTAAATTATTAAGTGTCAGGAAAATCGTCTTCAATTCCTAAAGTATCATTTCTCAATTGTAAATCAGTTCCATCCTATTATTTGACACAACTTCTTTTAATTATTGAGTTTTTCTTTATTGAATAAATAGAAATTAGATTTATACTTGTATTTCATCTGAACTAACTATTATTTCAGAAGCAGCTGCACTCATTTTTTCAGCAAATTATAACATTGCATACATACTTCCTATCATAGTACTTTCAATAGGTCCATAATATACACATATCATAGATATTGTAATTTATTTAACTAAAATCAATCTTCTTTTAGTTCTCCATAACATTTCTAAATAAGGCCATGTTGGACACATATATGCAGAATATAATAATATACCACTTACAAAATAAAGTGGAATTTATAGAAAGTATCTACTAAATATTCCATAAAATAAAACAACAGATAGGCCATTTAGGATAGATGACCATCTATTCATATTTCTAACTCTTATATTTAAGATGATTAATCTAATAGATGCACAACATGGAATACTATTGAAAATACCTGCACAAATATTAGTCAAAGATACACATAAGATCTCTTTATCATGATCACATTTAACACCTGTAAAATATTCAGCTCCTTTTGCACATAATAAATTTTAAATAGTAATATAAAATGTCATTTTAATAGCATAAACAAATAGAAAAATAAGTGTCCACATATCCGGTTAGAAATGAGGACCACCACTTTCAATAAAAGATAATTTTAAACTTACATCACCATAAACATTCTTTAAACATTTTTCTGTTGGATAAAGTATACCAACTGTTAAACCAGTTAAACATACTAATACAATCAAAGGAAGATCTTTATTTATCTTCCAACCAAAATATAATATAAAGAATATAAATATTGATGCTCCCAAATAATAAAGATCACCTCTTCTAAAGAATTCTATTTTTTATCTAATTTATTTTACCTTGATACATTTCAAATCTATCATGATATACTTAAAATCCTCTATTGGAATGCATATCACTTAATCCAAATGCATAATCTATGTAACCATTTGCAATTAAAAATAATAATCCCAAATAATATCCTTCAATAACGTAATTTGGCATAAAATCAATTAAATGATGCCATTTCAAATGACTTAATATATATATTTATAATCCAACCATTATTGTTACCCAAGGAACTGCTTCATATCCATATTATTATACTATATAATAATTGAATCCAGCAGCAACCCAAGTTGGTGCATAGATTGAATGATTACCTTTATATATAATATTAATATGATACTTCCACTAAAGAATCCATTAATTAATCCACCAATCAAAGCAGATGTATAGGCAGCAGAAGCATTACCACCAGTATTGTTACCAGCATTTAAAATAAATGGCATATTCATCATTGCCTATGTCATACCACTCTTCCAATTTTCTCTAATGAAAAAGAGTGCAGTATTAACATTATGAACAGATAAATGGCTAATTCTAGATAATGCATTTTTAATTGATAATTTAGTTTGATTAATTGATCCTTTTACTTAACTATCTTATTGATTAGACAATTTCTATTCATCTAATGCTTACATTTCTTATTCCATTAATGGTATTTTATGATCAGCATTCATATATATATTTATATATATATAAATTAATAATCAATCCTTCATATTATGCTATTTAACAATTAATAATCTAATTTAAATTATACATTAATGCTACGACCTTATCCAATCATTTTCGTTCTTCTCATAACATCAACATTGTCAAATGATAATAGTGATAGTGATATTCTCGAATTCACAACCACTCGAAATCAAATATGTTAAGACATTGAAAATTGTAAAAACTGAATATCATCATCATCTAGTTGATATAACAAATTCAGAAAGATAATCTATTTTTGATTCCATACATTCCTAGTAAAATTAAGATCTCTCAAGTCAAGTAGAAAAGTGGATTAATAACACCTACAAAATATCTTCTGGTGATTATTTTATAGATCTTTAAAATTATACACTTCCTTGGTTGATTGTTGCTATTTCAACTCTATTTATATCATTCCTCTACATATTAGTAGCAATTATGCCAAGGTAAATTAATATTATATGATAGTTCAATAATTAAATGGATTAAAACTCATACAGAAGATGAATTCATTTTAAATAATAGAAGATTTCATAAGTTTGGAATAGTAACCATTTTTATATTGAATTTAATCCTCATAATTGCTTCCATTATTACAATTGTAATATTTATTCATATATTTTAGATCTCTTCAAACAAAGCTATAGATGGTTTAACTTATTCCAATTGTTATATAGCTTCATCTTTTGACAATTTATTATCAAAAAATAATGATAATTTTACAGGATACAGTATTTTATAAACTGATTTCAATTAATTGTCAAATGATTTTATTGATTTCTAATCTGGATTGAAAAAACTATATCAAAGTAGAGTATCCATTAATTTATAATCAATATAATAAGAAGTTATAGAATTTAATAATTAGTACATTTTCCATTTAATAATAGACTTAAGAGAAATCGCCCTAATTCTCCACTTCCTATTAAATTATCCTCGAATGGAACTAATACAATCTCAGCTTCAGAATCTTATTTCTCGAAAATGAAAATTGTATAATTTTTTGATATATTTAATTTATAGATAGATTACTTATTGTCAACAAAGGATGATGAAAATTATCTAACATATTAATAATATTATAATCTAATAAAAGAAGAAGAAAATACAATGTATCTAATAAATCAAGTAAATGAGATTTAAGACTATTATGGTAATATATTCTTAAGATTTGGATCTTTAGAGAATTCATCATTTACTCTTAGAGATTCCAAATTAACATCATTATTCACTAAAGCTAAATAATAGATATCATCTATCAATAATTATATTTTAAATTATGCAGAAGTATTTACTGATTTTCATCAAAGTCTAAATGATGATATGAATTACTAAGTCAAATCAATTAATGGTTTATTAATAATCTTAATAATTTTCAATTTCATTTAAATTATATTATGGTTAGGATTCTTGATAAATAAACGTCTAAAAATTAGAAAATATATTGATATCCTTTGGTTTTTATGTAATCTTATACTGGCTGGAATATCAATTGTTAATTTCTTCCTATATACTAATTCCTAAATATCCAAAGAATTATGTATATACTTTGATGGCTTTATTAATAATGAATAATTCTATGAAAATCAAAAAATTATTCAATTCCCAGAAACAAAAGAAGCAATTCAATCTTGTCTATATGGTGATGGAAACATATATAATTAATTAAACCTGATTTCAAGATACAAAGATATCAAAACCTTTATTAATAATGAAAATGAACTCTAAAAAGAAATACAAAGACTTAATTCCAATTAGGCTTTTTATTTATAAATATTGAATAATAATTCTAATACTATTTCCTAAATTGTAGATGGTACTTTCATAGATTTAAATTCAACATAGAAAGAAGAATTTAAAAAAATAATTGATGAATTTAATTCATTTAAAAATATTGAAAATTGTGCAGAATTATCAGTAACAATATGTTCAGATTAATCATATCCAAAAAGAAATGGAGATTTAAATGATTCATAAAAATGTTGGCATCCATCTTATTTAATTACAGCAATTTCAGCATCATGTTGGGATTAATAGGATTTATTTTAATAATTAAAAATACATTACTAAATATAAGCTTAAGGATGGATTTAAATGTAATTATTAGAATCATAATTTGTTTCATAAAATTTAGATTTAAATTTGAAATTAAATCAATATATTTAAAATCATTCAGATTTTATTGATGAATATCAAAAAACATTCTCTAATTTTAATAGTCTACTTAAATCTACAAATTGTACATTTATTAAAGTAAATTATTGATAATTATAATTTAGGAAGATTTTAATAAGATGTTGGATGGAATGTGTGTCATCTATTAATATTAACTTAGTAAAATTTCAATTCTATTAATAATTATCCTCTCTACACTATTCCTTTCAATATTTTTTAATTGTCTCACTTCATTAAAAGTATCCCAAATGGAAACATATCAAGAATATGCTTCTACCAAAGTTATTAATTTTGCTGGATCAAGTAGACTTAGAGCATCAATTGAAATTAATTAAATAATGCAAAATGAAAGTCCAATGCATATATATAGTACATAATAAGAATTCAAATGAAACAATTCAAAACTTAAAATTAATCTGTATTTTTTCCTAAATTTTATTCATACATCATAATTTGTCTTTAAATTTCTTTGTTTTCCTCTTAAATTTTCTTACTATCATTTGATAATTTTACGAACTATTATTATTATTAAAATAATCAATACATGTTAAGTAGTTCTCTCTAATAATTATTCTTTTAAATTTTAATTCTTTTCTAAAAACTCATTTATTCTTTAATGAAATATCTCATGATTTGAAGATTAATCATAAGATATATGATTAATCATTTATATACTAACATGTTATTGTATATCATTTTATAAAATTAATTTGATTTTTGTCTATGCTTTTATAAATTTCTCAATTGATTTTTCATACTCCTTAATTTATTATTGATATTCTAATTTCTTAAT